CTGAAAAGTAACTTTACACTTGGGATCTTTTTCTGTGTTGTTTGCCTTCTGATCAGGTTCTGAATTTCTCAAGGAAAGTTCCAATTAGATTCTCTTTATCTTAATATATGTGAGGACAAGTTAAGGTAGAGGGAGAAGAAAAAAAAAATACTGCTTTTCTTGGGATACCAAGAAGATTCACAATGCCTAAATTCCAGATGAACTGGAAAACTATTTTTCTAAATCTGATATTTTTATTGTTTTATTAATAGAATTGTAAAAAAAAAAAAAAAAAAGTAAAATAAAGCATATATTAAAGTGAAATTTAGTAGATATTTACAAAATTTAACGAACTTGTTAATTAAAACTAGAGGAGGAATCTGTAGCAAATGTCATGCCATTATAAGGATTATCAATATTGCCTTGCCCCCGTCCCATTTATCAAATGGAGGTGCTAGGAATATCCACTTCAATCTTTGATTAGGGCAAATTATAGCTAATTATCAAGAAACGATGTAACAAATATTTGACCTGGAGTTGGTTTCAGACCTACCTATACCGACAGCACAATACAACTCTAACTGGCTGCATGCATATATAACAATGATAATTACTAAACTTTATTGAACACTTGTGTGCCAGGCACAGGTGCCAAATCTTAAGAGCTTTTCATTTAATATAGTAACTAGGAGGTTAAGTACTCTTACCATTTCCGTTCTAAAGATGAGGAAACTGAGGGACAGGGAAGTTATTTTTTTTTTTTTTTACGTCACACACTAAGAACTATGGAACTGTGATTTTAGCCCAAACTGTCTGACTCCAGGGTCTAGCTGGAAAACAGATGCCAAATCTGTGTTCTTGTTCTAGGATTTGGTGAATAATGGTACTTTAATGGTTGTTAAATGACTGATCTGTAAACATTTATTAATAAATAGCTAACAGGTGACATGTACAGGGTTCTACCCCAGCAGCTTACCTGCATTACCACCTCAATCCTCACAGTACCCACTCAAGTAGGTACTATTGTATCATTGTCAGCCAAGGAAAGTGAGGTACAGAGAGTTTAAGCAACTTATCCAAGGTTACAAAACTGGAAAGTGGTGGAGCCCAAACCCAAAGTCTGTCTGATTTCAAAGCCCATGCTCCTATCCACTATGTTATACTGTTAATCCAAGCCCTGTACAGGTAATTCAGTGGTGCTCACTCTGATTTTTTTTTTTTTCCTATCTTGCCTTAATACTAATTACAAAAAAATTTTTATTTTATTGTTGTTGAGAACATACCCAACAAAATATACACCAATTCAACAGTTTCTACATGTACCATTAAGTGACACCGATTACATTCTTCAACCATTCTGCCCCTTTAACATAAATTTACTGCCCCCTTAAGGTTCCTATTTAATCTTTTGAGTTGCCGTTGTTAATTTGATCCCATACAAACAATTCTTAAAAGAGTATAATGCTCAAGGCAGACATTTTCCACTAGTTAAGCTAAACTATTGTTTGGTTTTAAGACGACTTCAGGGGATATTCTGGTCTAAGGTTTAAAGATTATCTCAGGGCAATAGCTTCAGGGGTTCATCTAACCTTCACAGCTCTAAGAAGTCTGGAATCCATGAAAATTTGTTCTGCATTTTTTCCCCTCTTGTTCAGGATTCTTCTATGAAATCTTTGATAGAAATGTTCAGGAATGGCAGTCGGGTTTACCACCCAGTTCTTCTGGTCTCATGGCAAAGGAGGCAGTTGTTTACAGAGGCAATTAGCCACACATTCCATATTCTCCACCTGTTCCTGACTCTTCTTCCTCTGTTGCTTCAGGTGAATAGAGACCAATTGTGTCTTAGATGGCCGCTTGTAAGCTTTTAAGATCTCAGGTACTATACATTGAACTAGGAGGCACAACAAAGGCACTAAGCATATTATTAGGCCAATTAACTGGAATGTCCCAAGAACTAAATAATTTTTTAAGACCTTACAAGTATTATACATATAACTTTGCAATCCCTTTCAGAGTGATGGTGACCTCTGGGAATTTTCACAAGTCAAAGTTATAATCTCTTTCTTGACTCTCCATGATTGGCTTGCATATGTCATCTAGACAACACATAAAACAGCTGACTTGAGGGTCTGTGACTTCTTTCTGTAACCTTATTCATCAGATACTTAGGCCTGTCATTTTCTCTTAGTCTTATTCATCCTAAGGGAAGAAAAAAAATAAAACAACTCTACAATTTAGGTTTCATTACTTACTCTCCTCTCCACTGGTGTTAATCTGCACCATAACCTTTAACCTTTCTGGAGATCCTTTTTTCTGCCAGGAGCTGTTCACCTTGTCTGCCAATTTCACAGAATCCACTGTTTCCAGCATGAAGAGATTGGGGACAGCTGTAAGGAGAAAGGGGCAACACAGTATTTATTGTCCACCTACCCTACACCAGTGAGTAACATGCAAGAAACTCTGAACTTGTTATAGGGAGAAATAATTTCCCTAAAGAAAAAGACAGTTAAATGTAGTATGACAGTTTTGTTAGAAGTATGTTAGACTGTCATGCCAGCCTTGCCTAATCAAGAAAGATGAATAAAGAAAAGGCAACAGTCACCAACCTCAATTAGGCAACATATGTATTGAAACCAGCCTAAACTAGGTTGCCTTCCAGAAGCTACTAACTGTAGGATTCCTTTGAACAGGCTTGGTCTGACTAAGCCTGAGCTCTAACAGAGAAACAAGATGACAAGAAAAGGACAACTACTAAAAACCAAAGTGCTGCCCTAGTGAAGAGAGCACCATGTTCTTAAAACTTCCTAGGATAGCTGTGTTCTTACTCAACAAGATATCAGAATGACCCACACACTGAAAACTAAGGGAGTTGCTGATGAAGTCATCAAAACCATCTTCATCAGCTTGACCTCAGATAAACAGTAACAAGAACAGAAACATTATTGGCTTACATTATCCATACATTTGAAGCCTTCCAGAGCTTTATATGCATGATCTCTTTTTAATCTTCACCAAAGCTCATGAAACACTATTATCTCCATTTCAGAGATGGGGAAATTAAAGCTTAGAAAGGACAGTTTAAAAAAGTTTACAAAATTAACAAATATTAGAGTTGTGATGTGAACTAAAGCAATCTGTCTTCCATATTCTTAATACTAAATCTAAGCTCAGGTTACTTTGCTTAAACATGAATTTTTAAAAATTATAAAAAGTACATATGCTTGATGTAAAAAAAATTAAGCAATATACAAAGTATATGCAGGAAAAAGAGCCCCTTGCCTTAGAGGTTACTAATACCTTCGAGGTGAGGATACTTCCAGATCTATTTTAGTGTTTCTTCATCTAATCAAATACACACAAATGTATAGTTTATTATTCTTGTTTTCTTTCTCGTAACTCATAAATTGGATCAGCTAACATACTGTTCCACATGGTTACTTTCTTCCAGTTAGCAATATACAGCAGAGATTTTCCAGATCAGTACCACAGATCCACTGGTACTTTTTTAAAACTGCAGGATCCACAGAATGGAAGAGGACAATTTACTTAACTATTTTCTCTCACTAATGGACACGGGATTGGTTCTTATTTTTATTTTTATGTGATTTGGATGAAAGTTTACAGAGCAAATTAATTTTCCTTATAGCAGTTCAGTCTCATGACATTGACTGCAATTTCCCACAATGCAACAGCTCCTCTCCCACTTTCTCCCCATAGTTACCTCTTTCCTGTGTCCTTCCCTCCTATGCACTCCTGCCGCCCCCCCCCCCGACCTATCTCCCTCTGCATACACAGCCCTTCTATTCTCCCATGATTGATCTCTCCAAGGAGTATTTCTACCTAATGTAAAGGTTCAGCTCATATGCCTATCTTGTTTGGCTGGAAGCCACAGGAGTGGGTTCAATTCCAGACCTGAAGGGCAGTTAGGGGCCATAGTCTCAGGGGTTCCACCAGGTTTTATCAGACCAGCAAACCTGGTGCCTACCCTTTTTTTTAAAAAAATGATTTTGTTTTGTTCCACATTGTTCTCCAACTATATCCAGAATCTTCTACATAGATCCCCCTCTGAGTGGTTGACAGCAATAGCCGGGCACCAACTAGTTCTTCTGGCCTCATAGTCATATAGGCTGAGGATCGCATGATGTACCAGTCACTTGGACTAATTTGTTTCCATGTGTCTTTGGTTTTCTTCATTCTTCTTTGCTCTGGGCATCTAGATGGCCATGTACAAGCTTTTAAGATCTCAGTCGCTACTCACCAAAGTAGGATATGGAACAATGTTTTTGTGTAGTATGTTATGCCAATTGAGCTTGATGTCCCCTGTAACCGTGGTCCCAAGCCCACAGGTTAGACTGGTTCTTATTTTTTAATATGAAAACAAAGTTTAGACATACATCTTAGTACACATGTATAAGCATTTCTATTATAGCATCCTACAACTGCAATTATTGTTTTTATTATGATAAACATATAAATGTAACAGAATACTTCCCACTTCAACATTCTTCACACGTACACTTCAGTGGCATTAGTATGTTCATCATGTTGTTCAACTACCACCATTATCCATTTCTAAATTTTTGCTTTAAGAAGCTCTGTGTCCCTTAAGCAAGGAGTCTCCTTTCCCCCTCTCCTGCCTATGCCAGGTAACCACTAAAAACCTTGGGTCTGTATGTACCTGCCTATCCTAGATATTTCATGTAAGTGGGTTCATGTATGTCCTTTTGTGACCGACTTATTTCACTCAGCATGTTTTCTAGGTTAATCCATGATGTGGCATACATTAGGACTTCATTTCTCTTTATGTCTAAGTAATATTCCATTGTATGTATGCAACACATTTTGATTATCATTTCATCTGGTGATGGACATTATTATGGAGTGAACTGTGTCCCCCAAATATACATGTTGTAAATCCTAACCTCTATGCCTGTGGTTATAATCTCAAGTCAATGTCTTTTTTTTTTTTTAACTTTTTATTGTGAGTTCCATGCAATTTGACAAAGCAGATTCATTTTACATTCAACAAGTCATACACATTTTGTTTTGAGATACTGATTATAATCCAACTGAGTCGATGTCTTCTGAGATACAAAAGAGATTAAACAAGACAGATAGATGTCAATCCACATGAAGACTGCCCAGGAGCTCAAAAGAGAGGATTTTCCTGCAGAGCCAGCAGAGAAAAAAGCCTTCCCCACAGAGCCAGCACCCTGAATTCAGACTTTTAGCTTCCTAAACTGTGAGAAAATTAACTTTCTGTTTATTAAAGCCACCTACTTGTGGTATTTATGCTACAGCAGCACTAGGTAACTGAAACAGATTTAGGTTGTTTCTACCCTTTGGCTATCGTGAATGGTACTGAAATGAACACAGATATACAACTATCTGCTTGTGTTCTTGCTTTCAATTTTTTTGGGTATATACCCTATTGTGCTGGATCATATGGTAATTGTTTCTTTTTTTTTTAAATTGTGATTTGGGTGAAAATTTACAAAGCATATTTGTTTTCTATTCAATAGTTCACACACATTTCGTTTCATGACTTTGATTGTAATTCCCATAATGTTAACAACTCTTTCCCCTTCCTCCCTATGGTTACCTATTCTGTGTCCTTCTTTCCTATGCATTCCTGTCCTCTGAACTATCTCCCTGTGCAAATACTGCCCTTCTGATCTTCCATGGTTATCGTTCTAAGGAGTGTACCTTCCTGGTGTAAATGTTCACATTGAGGGCCTATTATTTGGCTGGAAGGCACGGGAGTAAGTTCACTTCCAAGCCTGAAGGGTGGCTAGGGGCTGTAGTCTCAGGGGTTTCACCAGTCTCAATCAAGCCAGGAAGCCTAGTCTTTTTTATGATTTTGAGTTTTGTTTTATATTTTTCTCCCACTCTATCTAAGGTCTCCTATTCTGATCCCTTTCCGAGTGAATGGCATTGATAACTGGGGACCATTCCAGTTCTTCTGGTCTCAGGGTCATTGTAGGCTGAGGTTCCCACGGTCCATTGAGTCCCTGGACTGTTTCTATGTGCCTCTTTGATTTTCTTCATTCTTCTTTGCTCCGGACAAGAAGACTAATTGTTGCATCTCAGATAGTCCACTTGCAAGCTTTTAAGTCACTATTCACCAAAGTAGGATGTGTATCAATGTTTTTGTGTATGTTATGCCAATTGAGCTTGATGTCCCCTGTGGCCATGGTTTTGAGACTGGGGGCCCAATGACTTACTCCTTCAAAGTGTTTCGCTGTGGCTAAGAAGTTATCATAACTTTGTCCCGTTAGCTCTATTATATATAAATGGACATTCTCATGGTACAAATATACATGCAGAAATATTGTCTGCCAAACTTATATATGGTCATGGGTATATACCCTTTTGCCCTGACATACCTGATCATTTAGCCTATCTACCTAGGTATCTACCTGTAGATTAATGTTTGTTGTTATTGATAATGCAATATTGAATATGTAAAAGTGTTTACCTTTGTTGTCTGTACCTGTGCACCTCTCTGTTTTCCCTTTTCTTAGTGTCATTGTGAGGGTCACTTACTTTTGGTATATTGCCTTTCTCTCCACCCAAATCAGTATCTGTCTCTTACCCAGCTAGCAATTTTCCTTCCCTTCCCCTTCCCATCCCCGGTAACCAACAAAGAAAGTTTCCTTCCATATGTAAACCTTTCCTTGTATGTTTAACTTATTTTAGGAACTGACAAGAAAATTGATAAACCTCTAGCTACACTGATTTTAAAAAAATAAAAAATAAGAACCAAGAGCAAGGACACAAATTACCAATGTCAGAAGAGTTGACATTACTATAGATTCTAAAACTATTAAAAGGATAATAAGGTGATATTACAAACAACTTAGATGAAATGGACAAACTCCCTGAAAGACACAATGTACCAACGCACTCAAGAAGAAACAGATTATATGGAAAGCCCTACCACTATTAAAGAAATTAAAAACCTTCCCACACAGAAGACATGAATAGACACTTCACCAAGGAGGATATTCAAGCGGCCAACAAACATACGAAGAAATGCTCACGATCATTAGCTATTAGAGAGATGCAAATCAAAACAACAATGAGATACCATCTTGCTCCAGCACTAGTATCAAAGTTCAACAAGA